CCCCAAAACCCCAAAACCCCAAAACCCCAAAACCCCAAAACCCCTTTCAGTCAACTTTAATTGAATAAACAGTTAAATATTTATGAAAATGAAGATTGGTCTTCTAATTTTTCTTCTATCGCTTCTGCTGCTTCAGGCAATCGCTCAAAGGAGAACTGAGCCACAAAGAACTTACCAAGGCGGATATACACAAAATACCAATACAGGTAAGACCAATTGGAAATGGCTGGAAGCAGACATGGATATGTATTCCATATAGATTTAGTCGAGATCCTGAGCCATATGTCATTTTTCATTTGCATTCGATAGAATTTTCAATTGAATTCCAGCTTGGAATCCAAGCACTCACAGGAAATTATTGAGTTGTTAGATATGCTTTAGATACTTACTTTAGCATCAATTTTTGAGCCAAGATTTATCATTTATTTAGGAGTACAAGCTAGAAGCAACTTATCCCTAAGGAACAAAGCAGGAGGATACCAGACTTCTGGAGCCACTTCTACAAGAGGTGGAGTTAGGCCAGAGTATTCGCAGAATACGAGATCTCAAACAAATCATCAGCCAGCTGGACATTCAGGATACACTCAAACTTCTCATGGGGGTGAGAGAATTCCAACAGGATCCTTTGTTGCTGAACCCCTCTTTGTGTCTGAGCCTTTGTATGGGCATCCTTACATTGCAGGCGTAGAAGAATTTATTGAACCTGGTCCCATCATTGAGCCAGCTCATGCTGTTACATCATTGACTGGAGAAAGGCTATCCTCTATTAGCGCTCGTCCTGGGTCAGATGCTCATCTTCCAGAAGTAAATACACATCAAGATAGAGCAGTACCTATATTGGAAGAACTATTGTAAGTCTCCACTCAGTTTACATTCAGACTAGTTGAGACCAAGGAGCTTATCCCAATTGCTGAATATCTAGAAATAGATGGTCGCCCTACACAATCAAGGACTTTCAATAACTGTAAGTGAAAATTCTTGAGTCATTAACCTCATAAAAACCAAATGAAATTAACCCTTCTAGATCCTCAAGACTACGACGACTTATTTAGTGAAATAGATTTGGAAATTCTCGCAGCTGAGTTATTTGGAGGTAAGAGCAGGCTAACCTTTCTAGAAGAAGAGTCCTCTCCTACCAGGAAATTTGACTCTTACAACAAAAGCACGAACAAATATCAGGAAGATGAGCTCGAATATGAATTTCCATCGATCAAACAAACTCTTGAAGAACTAAAATTAGCTAGAGAACATGCAGTTGATGATTACAAGAAAGATCTTGAATTAGCCAAGCTCGAAGCAGTTGAACAATACAAAGCTGATTTAGCAAAGAAGCAAGCAGCAGAAGAATTGAAAAAGCTGATAGAAGCTGAAGAGGCTAGGAAAGAAAGAGAGCAATTCAAAAATCTTCTTGAGGAGTATCTTGAGCCAATAGCTGCTCAAGAATATCAGCAAGCTCAGATAGCCCAATACCCAAGACCTCAATCTCAGCAAGTCCAGAATCAATATCAGCAACCTCAACAAGTCCAGAATCAATATCAACAGCCTCAGCAAGTTCAGAGCCAATACCAGCGGCCTCAGCAAGTTCAAACTCAATATCAGCAGCCTCAGCAAGTCCAAAGTCAATATTATCAACAACAACCACAGAATCAACAAGCTCAACCTCAAAGAAATGTGATTACTGCTAATCCTCAAGAACTTGAAATCCAAGCTGCACTTGAACAAGCTGTCAGAGCTCATGAATCTGAAAAGGCTCAGAATCCTAAAGATGGAGTGATCTCAGAGAAATGTGCTTTCACTGTGAAAGAGCAGACTGATAGCCCTCCTCAAATGCAGGCAATGAATAATCAAGGAAATTACTACTCTCAACAGAACCAGATTGAAAAGAATCCTAATCCTAATGGCTACTATGCAAAGAATAATGTAATTGAAAATGTCCCGAATGCTATTGAGAGAGCACCTAAGAAGACTGGGAGTTATAGTGAACCATCTAGAACCAATGATGCATCTTACTCGATCATTCCAGAATTGATCTACGACGATAATCCAACTTTGACCCAGCCTCAATCCCAGCAGCATTCTCATTACAACCCAACAGTAAGAAATGGGCAGAGTTATGAGCCAAAAACTGTAGCTTATGATGAATATGATCCCACTGTTGCCCCATCAGTTGATTACAACCAAAGGTCACCACAGCAAGCTTCTTCATATTCTCCAGAGCCAAGTAAGATCATCGACAGCAATGCACAATGTCAGACCCCTTACGATCAAACCATAACTTACTACGGAAATGATCCTAACGATAACATCTATGGATCAATCGAGCCTGTAATGTATGATAATGACAGAAATTCACAACCTTCATACTCCTCAGGTACCTCTTACAACGGCCGGATCGAGCCTGTCCTCTATGATCAGCAAAGTAGCACCTCTACTTACCCTAGTCAGAACCAGTACCTGGCTGTCAACCCAGGGACGCACTCTTCCAGTTCTCCTCAGAGTTCGTATTCTCCGTACCAGCAGCCTTCCTCGTACCAGCAACCTTCCTCGTACCAACAACCTTCCTCGTACCAGCAACCTTCCTCGTACCAACAGCCTTCTTCTTACCAACAGCCTTCCTCATATCAGCAACCTTCTTCATATCAGCAACCAAATTCCCAACAGTCTTCATCCCAACAGCCAACTTATCAATCCCTTAGACCATATGAAGAGCCTAGCAGAGAGGAGAACACTGTAGGGTATACTTCCAATGGTTATGATGGTGGAAGTCAGCCAGAATACAACTCCTACAGCCCTTCTCATCCTATTAATGAGGCATCATATGGACAGACCCCAACTAACACTGGAAGTAATAGCTATGGTGGAAACAATTACGGATCCTCTACCAATAACTACAGCGGAACTAGTGGATCTGGTTCAACTAGCCCAGACCAGGATCTTCATTTTCCAGATGGATACTAGATCTAAACCTTTACAGTTAAAGAAAATTCATCAATCTGTTTAAAGTAGCCAGGGGTTTTGGGGTTTTGGGGTTTTGGGGTTTTGGGGTTTTGGG